TTGAGCCCCTGTTTGGTCCATATTAATATTTTCATTCTCATTCTTCTATTCATTTTCAACCACACATTCTTCAATAAAATAATATTTTCCATCACATCAATAATTTTTCCTTCTTTTTCAACCACATATTCCCCATCCATCACATCAACAAAATGCATTCTTTTACCCAAAATGTACACCAAACATTTTTAAAGGTTTTTAAAATAGAGAGTATTTTATATTTAGCCATTGTTTGATCCCCATTTTTTTCAAAATACATTTTTTTCTCTTCATTTCAACCACACATCTTTTAATAAAATAATATTACTCGTAATCTAAAAAAATTTCTTTCGTTTTTTACCACACATTCTCCATCAATCTATTATTCCAAAATGAATTTTACACCAAAAATAGGACTCAAAAACTCTTTAAATAGTTTCTTGATGATACTCTAAATGAGTTGCCATCTTACGGGATTATGTCAAGAGAGAAATTCAACATGGAAAAAAAATAAGCATAATTGTCAGACTCGACTCGAACACTGATTCGGATAATGTAGGGAGTTAGTGGGTCAGTGGTTCGATCGCGACCTGATGGTTCGATCGGCAAGTCAATTCCTGTCAAATATATTATTAACTATTTTATTGGATAATAAAATTTTGGCATTTTCTATCACTAACTAAATTACCTTATGTTATTTAAGTGGCTATAGATCAATCCATATGTCAAAATTCAACAAATTCTAGATCAAATATAATGAAATATAATTTGAAATAATAAAACAATCATTGATCAAAAACTACTTTACGTGGCGAAAATCAATAAAATAGCTTCATATACTATAAGCTTGCAAAAATAAAATTAACAAATAAAAGCCACTCTATCCCAAAAAATTATGTAAGTCTGGAACTTTCGAAGTCACTCTGCCTTTTCAACCCCAAATATGAAGAAATTATTAAAATTCAAATAGCAAAGTACAAATAGCTAGAAGAAGAGATGCCCCCACAGTTGACAGATACCATGAAATTGCAAAAGAGAGAGAGAGAGAGAGAGAGAGAGAGAGAGAGAGAGATGCCCATTAATTAACAGATACCATGAGATGCCCATTAATTAACAGATACCATGAGTTCATGTATTCCTTTTCTCTTTATCAAATGCATCAAATTATAAATTATAGTTTACCATGTTTCTTTAAATTCTTCATTAGAGGGAAAAAGAGAGCTCCCTCAACAAAAGAAAAACGAAAGGCTACAAGAATGATGAGTCTACAGCACTTGAACACATTGCTATTCTTCAATTAAATCGATTCCATATTCACCCATGAAATTACATTTAAAACACAGTTGTTGTACATAATATACAACATAGAGACAACTATAACATGGAATTCTGGTGAAAGTCTTCCAAAATTCTTGAAATATTTCACACGTTCTAGCTCCAGCTCCTGCTGGCATGCAACACCAACACGTTCAACAGCCTGCTTCCAAATCTTTCTTCAGTTCACGTTCAGCTCCTTCTTCCAACGTACATATTCTAGCTTATTCTAGATATTTCTTTAGTTTGTTATGTTGTTAGTTTGTTAGATAGTTTGTTATCTATTTTTTCTATAAATAAAATAGTTTGCATTGTAATTTCTCTAAATTGAATGAATGAATATTCATCTTCTTCCCTACCATTTACAGCAGGTCTATCCTTTTATTTTCAGTTCATTTCTCTACAGTTTTCGTTCCTTGATTTTATCACTTTTCACATATTTTAATGGCAAAAATTTTAAATTTACAAAGAAAATCATAATTTTTAGACATCTTCTTCTTCCATCTACTATAAGTTGAAATTGAAAGTTTGAATTCTTGGGAGTGGAATTGCAAGAGAGTGCTGAAGCTATGATTCCCATTTCTGGATACTGCCGTTTTTTCCTGGTTTCTTGCACAGTCCGAAAATGAAGAAACTCGAATTGGACCACTGTTCGGTTCGACGGTTTTCGGACCGAACCGATCGATCAGGTCCGAGTTTAATAATACTGCATATAAGAATATTAACCAACACAATTCTACATTAAATAAATATAACAATATTAAACGCTATGGCTCTGTTTGAACCACGTTATTTTTTTCATTCTCATATTTTACTCATTTTTAACCACATATTTTTTGATAAAATAATATTTTTCATCACATCAATAACTTTTTTTTTTCAACCACATATTCCACATCATATCAATAGTAAAAATGCATTCTTTTTACAAAAATGTGTATCAAACGGGGGTAGTTGACAGATACCATGAAATTGCAAAAGAGAGAGAGAGAGAGAGAGAGAGAGAGAGAGAGAGAGATGCCCATTATTAACAGATACCATGAGTTCATGTATTCCTTTTCTCTTTATCAAACGCATCAAATTATAAATTATAGTTTACCATGTTTCTTTAAATTCTTCATTAGAGGGAAAAAGAGAGCTCCCTCAACAAAAGAAAAACGAAAGGCTACAAGAAAGATGAATCTACAGCACTTGAACACATTGCTATTCTTCAATTAAATCGATGCCATATTCACCCAAGAAATTACATTTAAAACACAGTTGTTGTACATAATATACAACATAGAGACAACTATAACATGGAATTCTGGTGAAAATCTTACAAAATTCTTGAAATATTTCACACGTTCTAGCTCCAGCTCCTGCTGGCATGCAACACCAACACGTTCAACAGCCTGCTTCCAGATCTTTCTTCAGTTCACGTTCAGCTCCTTCTTCCAACGTACATATTCTAGCTTATTCTAGATATTTCTTTAGTTTTTTATGTTGTTAGTTTGTTAGATAGTTTGTTATCTATTTTTTCTATAAATAAAATAGTTTGCATTGTAGTTTCTCTCCCTACCATTTACAGCAGGTCTATCCTTTTATTTTCAGTTAATTTTTCTACAGTTTTCGTTCCTTGATTTTATCACTTTTCACATATTTTAATGGCAAAAATTTAAAATTTACAAAGAAAATCATAATTTTTAGACATCTTCTTCTTCCATCTACTATAAGTTGAAATTGAAAGTTTGAATTCTTAGGAGTGGAATTGCAAGAGAGTGCTGAAGCTATGATTCCCATTTCTGGATACTGCCGTTTTTTCCTGGTTTCTTGCACAGTCCGAAAATGAAGAGACTCGAATTGGACCACTGTTCGGTTCGACGGTTTTCGGACCGAACCGATCGATCAGGTCCGAGTTTAATAATACTGCATATAAGAATATTAACCAACATAATTCTACATTAAATAAATATAACAATATTAAACGCTATGGCTCTGTTTGAACCACATTATTTTTTTTCATTCTCATATTTTACTCATTTTTAACCACATATTTTTCGATAAAATAATATTTTTCATCACATCAATAACTTTTTTTTTCAACCACATATTCCACATCATATCAACAGTAAAAATACATTTTTTTTACAAAAATGTGTATCAAACGGGGGGCATATAGGGAATTGAGCTATTTCTCTGATAAAATTGAAACAAGTATATAGATTTCAAGAGTGAACGAAAGACAATGAGGTTATATTAAGAAAAATTAACCATAAATAAAGTGCGTGGTGATTTTACTAAAAATTAATTTTTTTTTTTTTTAGTAAATTTTGGTAAAAATTGATGAAATATATAATTGAAAATTGAAAAAATTGATAAAATNATTTTAGTAAAAATTGATGAAATATATAATTGAAAATTGAAAAATTGATAAAATATATTTATGTTTAAAATTAGTTATTCACTTTGATTAAAACTTTTAAACTTTTCGAGTAAAACCAAACAAAGACTAACGGCTTGCTGGCTCGGTCCACAAGTCAAGTCAATAATGCATTTCATTTCTACTTCTCTAATAAAATTAACCTGAGTGCCCACTAAAAGCCACGACGCTTTGCCTGTGTGTGAAGAGTTAGTAGTAGAACAACATTGAAAAGTGAAATCACTGGACAGGCACGAGGATAATCGAGAAGAATCGAAACTTAGCTCATCATCTTGCACTCATGAACCATTTCTTGGTAAGTGCTTCGACCCGTTTATTTTAATTTTGGCTTTATTTGTTCGTTTTACTGATTGGTGAACTAAACAGTTGGAAAAGGAAAGCTTGTTCGCAAAGTGTTTGATGAAATTCCTGTTTGATATCTGTGTGCATTTTCATTTTTATGCTCTTATTATTTACAGAGGAAGTTTTCAAACAAAACCTCCCTCATACGTGTAGTTGCTTTGGCCTCAGCTGGGTCTGGTCTATTGTATTCCACCATCGCCCCAGATTCCAGTAAGGACTCCAATTCATTCTTTTTATAAAAATTTAAACTATTCTTTTATCAATTTATCTGTTTGGGTTCTTCAATTAATTGGAATATTTTTTTAAAAAAATAAATTGTTGGGATCTAATTCCTTCATATGATCGGTTGTGGTGTAGAAACATCATTTTTGGTTTCAATTCCTCCACCATTGCGGAACTCTGAAACGTGGCCTGCATTGATTTCCTTAAATCCTACACAGTACGGTATGCCAATATTTCTTCAGAATTTTTTGCTTTTGTACTGGTTTTTAGTTTTCCCGTTTACAGGAGCAGTTGCTCCGAAGCAGGCTCGTTGACTGGATATGCATGTATATTTACTTTCTTGTCACTTTATACAATTAATACCATGTAATTGTAGGTGTTCTTCACGTATCTTTTTCGAGACCTGATGCTGTTCCACCTCCAGATATGGGTAAAGAAGCTTCCGGGGATCTTGGAGGTAGTCCCAAACATTCTTGCAACTGTTTGGGTCGAGATACTATTGCTAATGCAGCTGCTAAGGTTGGTCCGGCTGTTGTCAATTTGTCAGTGCCACAAGGTATGCCTTTTCTTTTTGAATTTTGCCAATTTGCAGGTTGAGTAATATTTACAGAATCTGAATCGGTCATGTTTGACACTTTTGTAGGTTTTCACGGGATAACAGTGGGAAAAAGCATAGGATCAGGAACAATAATAGATGACGATGGTACTATTTTGACTTGTGCTCATGTAGTGGTTGATTTTCAAGGTTTAAGATCCTCGTCCAAAGGGAAGGTCTGTTCTTAAAATTTTAAAACCTTTCAATTGCAAATTATATATGCATCAACTCAAGGCACAGATGCTAGGCACGTGACAATTGTGTGCAGTTTAAACCTATAAACATGAAAGGTTCAAATCAATTTATTCATAAAATGTTTTCATTGAAAGGGTGACACTTCCACTCTTTCGCAACTGTCTATGAGATCAACATAGATTATATTACAATTATATTGATATCCATATATGATTGTATTTACCATATTAGGATGATTACATACCATAGTTGTACATATTTCTATTCCTATATAATTAAAGCGATCCCAAAAGGGAAAACTATTCAGCCAAACTTTGTCACCCACTACATTGTACAACACAAAATTAAAATCACAAGTCATCATTGAAACAAGAAATTAAAAATTTACCACAAGAACATGATCTCTCTCTTATGTAGGTCATGATAGCAGTGGAATATGCATAACTAGGATAGCAAGAGAGACTCAAGTTTTCAGAAATCAATTGCCAATTCAGCAACTGTAAAATCCAATTAGTGAGCCAGTTGTGCTGAAAGAAATAACATACAATCACACACAACTTCAGCAATTCATGATAAAAAGAAGTTTCATAAAAGTGAAAAAACTACACAATATTCAAAAATATAAGTATATATTGCAATTCTAGGGATGAAGCACCGCACAACACTGTATTGATTAAACAGAGATTCCCAAAAAAAGGAAGTCATAAATAGAGCTCAACAAGAGAAAGCATGTACTGTTAAGAGCATCCCACAAGAAAGCGCAAAGGTAAGTAAGGCACAACAGAGTACCAAGCTAGATAGTGCTTAACGGGAAAATGTTTTCCCCTAAATAGAGCGTCCAGGGAGAAAGCGACATACACTCAACGCAAATAGTAGTATAGTAATAAACTAAGTTTAAGTCATTCACCTTCAAAGTTTTAAATCAGTGATCTTACAAGCTTTAATACAATCTTAATTCTTGTTAATATAACAGCAACGTTGTAAATGAAGTCTTCAAATTTCATGATTCCTTATCTCTGCCTGAAAATGTATATCCTGCCCTTTCCAAGCCTTTTAGTATCTTATCTTCAGTGACATGTTGTTCGCTTAATTAATGAAGGTGTCAGTTAAAATCTTATTATCAATGTTTTGTTGATATTGTCATACTTGCTAATATCTATATATGTGTATTTTTAACATATTGATTTATTAATTCAAATATTTATGTATGACTGCTTAACCGGGTTCACTGCATATAATAGCATGACTTCTATCCTACTTCTCTCATTCATTGACATTTATGCAGTTATTGATATACGGGAGAGTTATTATTATTTTTATTTTTTATGCAGTGATAGGTTAAATTTAAATTTATTTATTTTATTGCACACTTGTGAATATTGGATATGAGATGACACGAAAAAATACTGTTGCCACAGGTTGAAGTCACTTTGCAAGATGGTCGTACATTTGAGGGAACAGTGGTGAATGCTGATTTGCATTCTGATATAGCAATTGTAAGAATAAAATCTAAAACTCCACTTCCAACAGCAAAACTTGGCTGTTCGAGTAAGCTTCGACCAGGGGATTGGGTGGTGGCTATGGGCTGTCCGCTCACCCTTCAAAATACTATCACAGCCGGTATTGTAAGGTAATTCAGTAATTGGACAGCATAATATCCGTTCATCTTTTACCATCTAAAAGTTTCAAATTTATTTTAAGTTGACACACGTCTGTGGTGTTGTTTTAAGTTAACATGCACATACACATATCAAAGAGAAACTGAAGCTATGAGCTACATCATGACATTCACATTATTCTATCATGACATCTTATTTTGACAAATATGTGATGTAGATCTCTTCTGTATTTAAAAAACATGTATTTTCTTTACTGATGCCTTCATTTTGTGTTACTTTTCTCCCAATTGCATATAGTTGTGTTGATCGTAAAAGCAGTGATTTGGGTCTAGGAGGAACACGAAGGGAGTATTTACAGACAGATTGTGCAATTAATCAGGTAATAGAAATATATTTTCTCCTTCATCACCAGATTGTTTCTGCATAATTACACAACTTCCATCACCAATGGGCGCATCATAGTATAAATCATAAATGCCTGGCTGAATAGTAGTCCATCATTCTTCCTCATCAGGTACTAGAAATATGTTTTTCCTTTCATTAATGGTAATTAGGGAGCATAATATACAATTTGGTTTGATTTCTATTAGACAGTAGTCCATTTTCATGAAGTTGTTGAGTATTATAAGTCATAAATACCTTGCTGGGAGTGTAGGGATTTCCAACTTTATCTTACATGGTTTGAGATTTATAAAGATGATTGACTGGTCACGTGCTCCAGTATTGCCTATATTCAAGCTTTTTAGTGTTACTATATGCATCAAAAAAGATAATCCAAATGAAATATATCTTCAACTTGCCAGGAATCTTTACATTCCTAAGAATGAGGAGCTGATATGTTTTTTGTCAACTACCCTTCTTCTTATGTTCTTTGGTTAACAGCTACATTGAACTAAAGTTTATCATGCCTTGTCATTAATGGCTTCTTATTCGTTCATGTCTTGGATGCAGGGTAACTCCGGAGGACCTCTTGTCAACATTGATGGAGAAGTAATCGGTGTTAATATCATGAAAGTATTGGGAGCTGATGGGTTGAATTTTGCTGTACCAATCGATTCAGTTACCAAAATAATAGAGCACTTCAAACGAAATGGGTATTGTTTTCTGATGTTCTCATGATTCAAATAAGCTTCTCTAGATCAGACACATACATTGTTCGTGAAGCTATCTCATCATCTCTATCTGATATTTAGCAATCATTCTTTGGTTGTTCTAGTTGGATATCGCTCGACCTTGAATCCAAGTTAATTCTAACCCCTGTAAAAGCTGATTCCTAATATTTATGGACTAGTACTTGCGTGTTATTTACCGAGTTCTTGTTATTAGACAATATATATAAGGTCTTAAGTAAACTGTGCAATATAAGGTCTTAAGTAAACTGTGCAATATTGCACATGATCCAGGCGAAATTGTCCCGAATTGTTTTGAGACTGCATCTCGACAGGTGATGCATTTTCAAACTCCAGGCTCAAACTATGAAAATTCAATATCTAATTGCCCTACCCCTTACCCAAACCAAAAACATAAATAAATAAAATACATCATCACCTCTATGTGTGCCTCGAGGGACTTTTCTCGATCCTTTATTAGAGTGATTAACAGTAACGAAATTAACTGAACATATAAATTACACACTCTTACTCTTATTTTTGCGCTTACAAATCATATTTGAATTTATTTAAAAATTTGATGAACATTAATGGAATGAATAATTGATGGTGCAGAAGAGTTGTACGACCATGGCTTGGCTTGAAAATGATTGATCTCAATGACAGGATTGTTGCACAGCTGAAGGAAAGAAATGCTGCTTTCCCAAATGTCAGCAAAGGCATTCTTATACCTATGGTAGGCTGTTCTTGGCTTCACAGTTAACTATTTTGTACTAAGCTCTGTTTCAATAAAAATCCTTATATCCACTTTTCCGTGTGTTCAAATGGCTTGAGGATCATGATACTATAATCTTTTTCTACTGTCTCTCCTTTTTTCTTTTTTTTTTTTTTTGGAGAATGTGTGGTAAAAAGTTGGGAAAAGTTTTTGGTCCCGTAGAATTTGTGGGTGAAATTGATTTTTGAAAAACCTTTGACGAACAAGCCTTAAGTAGCTAGACCTGTATGATTTTTGTCAGAAAATTTAGGAAAAGAAAGCAATGAAAAGGAGTCGTGCTGCTGCATCCTTAAAAGGCGGCAATGACAAAGTGCTGTTTCCTTTTCTCTGCAGCACATAGAAAATGAACCAAACTTTCTATATAAGTATCAACTTGAAGAGCGATCCTTAACTGATCATTGCTTAGTTCCAGTACTAGTTGCTTCTAATTTGTTAATTAACATATTTCTGGGCAGTGATATGTCTCAGATGAGGTAGTTTGCTCCTGTACTATTCCATTACTTCATTTAAAAATCAAGTTTTCTTTTCCCCCACAAAATGTTATCGCTGCTCAAATCAGTGCATGATCCATATATTGTATTCAATTTTTTTCTTTAAACTTCTCTTCTATCTACATCAAAGGTTGTTGTGTTTCTTATTGTATCTTTGTTACAATTGGTTTTGAGCTGTAGAGAAGCATCAGACATCAGAGTTTATTTAGGTTGATACATGGGGCTCAAATGTCCATATGATGGCATGATAAAGGATATGGCTTCCTGTTCCTATCATTAGACCACGAGTCATGTCTGTCTTCTGCATATGCAGATTATGGCAAAGCAAAAAATATCAGAGGGAGCCAAAAACATGAAATAAACGAACCTTACATAAATGTTCAATAGAAATGTTGGGAATGTGGATTGTTGTTTATTGATGAATGAAAAATTTGTAATCAATTACTTTGGGTCATTGATTGATAGTTTTAGAATGATAGAATGTTGTTTATACAATAATTTTTGCAACAAAGGCACCTCGTGGGCTAATTTTTATTTAGAAAGTGCACATCTTTGCATCAGGATACCAAAATGCGTGATATGCATTAATGAATTCTTGAATTTGTATACCAGCTGCATAATATGCAAAGTAGTCATTGCTGTATAAGTTCTCAGGAAAAAAATAATCGTAATATTTTCTCATCCAGGTATCACCAGGGTCCCCAGCTGATCGTGCTGGATTTCATCCTGGAGATGTTGTTGTTGAATTTGGAGGGAGGCCCGTTGAAAGCATTAAGGAGGTACTGACATTCCTTCTGAGTTATGGATATTATTTTCTCCGGTTAATAATTAAAGAACAAAAACAATTGTCATGAAGAATTGAAACCAGAGAGGTTTGACTGCCCATGTTGTTGGTAGTAAAATCTTGTTTTTTCTTTCACCTAGTTTAAGGAAGGTTTTAGGCACGCATTTGGTTGTCAGGGTTGTTACTGAGCCTGCAATAGAAGCATGTAGGTTCTGATACCTATAGTTGTTGTCGTATTTCTCTTTTCTCGTCTTACCCATTCTAGTATGACTAGTACACATCAATCTTAACTTTCTCTTTTCTCCTGCATTTATCTCCTGGTCATTTTGTCATTTAACAGCCCAACTCTCAGTACTACAAATCCTAGCAGGTTTAACGAGTTCTAAAAAATTAACCTTTTATAACCTTGTACAAAATTTTCCCACAGAATTCAAATAGCACTTCTCTATTCATGTAAACCACTCTAATCTTATGTTTACATCCTCTTTAATTCCTCGTTCCTTGTTAATAATCAAATCTAGATCCTTGAACAGTTTAGTTTTTGGGACAACTAGATCCTCTATTGTGATTATTGCATTACTATCCTTATTTCCTAATTTACTAAAATGACACTGCATAAACTCGTCTTTGTTTTGCTTACCCTAAAGCCTTGAGATTTTAAAACATTCCTTCAAGGTTCTATACTCCTGGTTTAACTAACCGAAACTATGCCAATAACTAGTAACATACACCATTGATTTCCATCTGGATATTTCTAGCAAGCTCATCCACGATTACAATTTACAGCGAAAATAATACAAGAACTTAACACATAACCTTGATGCAAGCCAACATTTTTTGAAGATACAATTTAAATAAATAAAGTTCTTCCTTGTCTTGTAGTTTAAGCTTTAGATAAAATGGTTCAGCATGTGTTATAGTAAACAAAGATCCTGGATTTGAGTCTTAACACGACTCATATAAAAATTGTGCATGCAACAAGCTTTCGATGAAAAAATGAATTCACCATGTATGTAGGGGGCTGTGTCGAAGACACGATTTAATTAAATAAATTTGTCCACTCTCTAACATCTTAAACCTTTAGATGAGGCAATTCAATAGCATTGATATAAATGTAGATAAAAAATATTGAATATTATTCATGTTCTGTTTATACTACTTAAAAGAATGACCATTTTCAAGGTCCAAACTTGATAATAAAACTCTCTTTTTTGAATTATGTTCTTGTAGGTATTATATTGTTTGGTTCATAAGTTGAGTTCCTCAAAAGAAAAAAAATTAGTAACCTTTATATTTTTGTATGAATCCTTGGCTTTCTTTAATTTGCTCTGTTCCTTTTTGCCTTCCTTGCTGTTGACTACGGTTCACATTTGTTATCTACAAAACCGAATATCACTGTTTTATCTTTTCAGGTTATTGATATTATGGGAGATAATATTGGGAAACCATTTAAGGCTGTTGTGAGGAGGGCAAATGCTAGTTCCGTAACTTTGACTGTGACTCCAGAAGAAGCTAACCCTGATATGTGAATGACATTGGTTTCGCCTTGATTTTCTTCCTTTTGGGTATCTAGTGCAGCATTCGACTATTAGTAAGTCTTTGACATAGAGTTTTACATTGCAATGAGTTGTTAAACGATGAGTACATTGCCTGTTGTTTAGTATGTTTTTGGGTATTATACATCAATGCTGAAGCTGATAGACATGCATCAATGTTCTTTGTAATGCATATTTCGGTTTGAAAATTTGTTAAATGAGAATAAGGAGTTGAAGATGGCAGTTGAAAACGTATTGAATAATCTTTTTTTTTTAATTTCTATTTTGATATCAGCTTCTGGATATTTTTTTGACTACGTTTTCAATTGTTGAATAAAGTGTTTGGTATCGAAGTATTCATGACAAATTTCATAAAACATCACGGGGCATCTAATAGAGGGCGAATTTTGCCACATAGGCTTGACGGAAATTTGGCGGAGGGATTAAACTGGAACTCGCTTGTAGCTTAAGTGATTAAATTGAAACGTTTTGCACTAAAGTACCAAGTTGACATTCCGCTTAAACTTTAGTGACCGAATGTGTAATTTACTCTTTTTAATGTATTGTTTGAGTAGCGAAGTTGGTCTTCCACTTTTGAAAAAATGAAGAGAGTCAATCTTCAATATTTCATTATAATTACACAAACATCCTCGATGAAGGAAACTTTTAAAGAATCCCACTTTTAATGGAAGAGAATTGGAGTATATGTTTACAGTAAGGATATATAATTGTAACAAACTTAGGGATGGCAATTTGCCCCGTCAAACTCAATACCAGCCCCGACCCCACCTCAATTGTCTAATTATTTTTTTAAAAAAATGTAGATTTATTGGTATTCACTAGCCCAAATTTTTAGAGGTAATTACATAAAATCAGGTCTTTTCTTTTCCATTTTAAAAAATCAGGTTTTCAAGTTTTTTTTTTTTTTAATTTATGAGGTTTCGTTTCTTTACAAAAAAAAAAAAAAAATTTTTTTTTATAAATTT